AGCAGGAAGAGCGGGGCTGGGTGCCCGGGGGTGCCCGGGGAATGGGCCCGTAGCCCCAGGCGTGCTGCCCCGGCCGAGGTGGCACAGCCACGCCAGGGACACCCCGAAATGTTCCGCACCCCCTGCTGCAGCCCCATCCCGGCCCTGCCTCCCGACCTGCCCAGGGGTTTGGGCTGCAGCTGCTCTCGGGTTTTTTTCCTCAGCTTCTACCAAAAATGAGCGGATCTGGGTTATTGCACCAGAGATTTGTCCCAAAAATCAGGGGATGGGGCGGCTCCCGCGGGTGTGACGGGGTGGGGAACGGGGCCCGGGACAGTGACATGTTCTTCCTGCTGCTGCAGGCAAGCAAAAGAGGGTGAAACACCTTTTTTGGGGGTGACAACCAGCCCCAAACAGCATTTCTAGAACAAATGGGTTAAAGCACTGAGTGCTGGCAGGGCTCGGGGCTGGGCTGGTCCCTGTCCCCACGGTGGCCAAGGTGACTTTTCCTGGAACCCCGACTTCACTGAGCTCTGAGGTTCCAAGTGGATCCCAGCCAGGATGGGATGCCAGAGCTCGTCCGGAGGGAGGGTGACACGTGTGATGGGTGGCTCCAGGGACACCGAGATGAGGCCAAGGGAGCAGTTTGGGGGATTCTGGAGGACGGGGTCGCATTGTTGCTGTGCCTGATGCCTCCCATCCCCGCAGGATCACATCCGGCAGCACCAGGAGATCCACGTGGTGATGGGCAACGAGGCCTGTGACCTGGACTCCACCGTCTCGGCGCTGGCCCTGGCCTATTTCCTGGCCCAGGTGAGGCTCGGCCAGTGCCTGGGGACTGCCGGTGGCCCAGGGGACGCCTCACCGGGTGTCACCCCTGCCGCAGACCTCCCCGGCTCCCAAAGCCGCCTTCGTGCCGGTGCTGAACATCCCCCGCGCCGACTTCGCGCTCCGGACCGAGACGACGTTCCTGCTGCGGGACCGGGGAATCCCGGCCGCCTCCCTGATCTTTCGGGATGAGATCGACCTGGGGGGGCTGCACCACGCTGGGCTGCTCTCCCTGACGCTGGTGGATCACCACGTCCTGCCCGGGTGAGCCGGGGGTGGCACGGTGGGGACGGCCAGGGCCACCCACCCGGAGCTTCAGTTGATTTTGCCGCCCAGGGTGGGTCAAATCGATCCAGGTCTGGGGTGATTTTAGGGAAGAAAAGGAACACGGGGGTTTCCCAGGCTCTGCCAGGGTGACCATTCCCGTTTCCCCCCAGTGCTGATGCTGCCCTGGAAGAGGCTGTGGTGGAGGTCCTGGACCACCGGCCACTGGAGCGGGAGCGCGGTCCCCCGTGCCAGGTGACGGTGGAGCCGGTGGGTTCCTGCGCCACGCTGGTGACCGAGCGCATCCTCCAGGGCCCCCCGGGCGTGCTGGACAGAACCACGGCCGCGCTGCTGCACGGTGAGCGCGGGGGTCCTGGCCGAGCCCCGGCCCCGCGGCACGGTGACAACACGGCCCCGCTCGTCCCCGCAGGCACCATCCTGCTGGACTGCATCAACCTGAGCCCGGCCGCGGGCAAGGTGACACCCAGGGACGTCACCTGCGTGTCCCTGCTCGAGGAGAGGTTCCCGGAGCTGCCGGCCCGTGACGCCGTGTTCGGAGCCCTGCAGGCGGCCAAGTTTGATGTCACAGGTGTGTGTGCCAGGGCAGCGGCACCCAGGTGTGTCCGCCCCTCCTTGGGGACACGAAGGTGCCCTGGGCCTCATCCCCGGCCACCTCCCAGGGCTGACGACGGAGCAGATGCTGCGGAAGGACCTCAAAGTCGTCTCCAGTGACGAGGTGGTCGTTGCCATCAGTGGCATCTTCGAGGACCTGGAAGTGAGGCTTGGGGCTGAGGGGGAAACTGAGGCAGGGAGCGGCACGCTGTGGGGACATCCCGGTGATGCCGAGGCCCCTCCCCTCCGTGCAGACATTCCTGCTCCGGCCCGGCTTGCTGCAGGAGCTGGAGGCTTTCTGCCAGGGCCGTGGCTACGCGGGGCTGGTGGCCATGACCGTGTCCTTTAACGAGCGCCACGAGCCCACCCGGAAGCTGGCGGTGTACAGCCGGCAGGAGCCCCTCCGCAGCACGGTGAGTTAGGGGACCAGGCTCGGGCATCTCTGGGCAGTGCCCAGCTGCGGTTCGCCCCAGAAGCTCCCGGTTTTGGGGGTGCCGGGGAGGTCCCAGCCCCACGCTCGCTCCCCTGCAGCTGTGCCGGGCGCTGGAGGAGGCGACGACGCCGTCCCTGCTCCTGCAGCCGCTGCCGAGCCCCTGGCCCGGCGTGGTCGCCTACGCCCAGGGCAACAGCGTGGCCGCTCGCAAGAAGGTGCTGCCCATCCTGCGGGCAGCGCTGGGGGGCCCGGGGGCCGCCGGGGGGCCCGAGGAGGAGGCAGTGCCCCCACCCACCCCCATGAACAGCCTGGTGGAGGAGTGTCCCCTGGCACAGGCCGTGCCCCCGCTGTGTCCCCAGGATGTCCTGGAGCGGGTCAGCCGCATCGCCGTGGGGCAGCCCCCCGGCTCCCCCAAATAGCAGCGGACACCCCGTGGCTTTTTAAGGTCTGGATGAGAAGTTGGGGTCCCTGAGCAGGGCCCGGAGGGGTGCCTGGGTGGGGGGGGGGATCACAGCCACCTTTGTGCTCAGCTCCTGGTCCTCGTCGTGGTTTGTCCCCCCCGGTGGCTCCCTGTGCCCCAGTGGAACCCAGCGTGGGTTTCTGGGGATGCCATGGGCAGCAGTTGCACCCCCTTAATGAAGGCATTGGGGTGTGGGAGTTAATGAGTTCTTGACGATCTTCCATCCTTGGGGGGCAGTGGGGGGCCCCAGAGGGTGGGTATGGACTTGCAGCTGTCCAGGATTGTCAGTGGTCCAAGGATTAAATTTTCCTTTTCTTCCAGTTTTGGCTCTTGGCTTTTATTCTGGGATGGGTCTGGTGCTGCCCCACTCGAGCTGAGGGTGCAGCCCCTCTTTCCCTGGGGTGCAATCCCCTCTACAGTGGGTCACAGGAACGTTTTGGGGTGTCCAAGGAGGGGGTGTCAGTGCAGCCACGCTCCCCAGTCCAGCCCAGCCAGGAGGAAACTGGTTGTGCCATAGAAAGTCGTGACCTCTGCCTGCTGTGGATGTCAGCGGGCTCGGCTTTCCCCAGGGGATTTGGCTGCTCCAGGAGCAGAGGAGGGAGCGAGGAGCCTGGGGCAGCCTGTGCACCCACCCCTTGGGCCAGCACAAGGCATTTATCTCCAGAGTGGAATGTTTGTCCCAAAAACCCCTGACCCAAGCATGACACGGGGCTGGAAAAGCCCGGCTCCCTGCGGAGCACAGGGCAGGGGAAAGGCTCTGTCACCCAGCACGTGCTATTTAATATTTAATCCTGGCGCTAATTAAACTATGTACACCCGCGCCTGAATTCCGGAGCCCTTCTCGGGTCAGGCCCTGTCCGGCCTCGGCCGGGGACAATCCCGGGTGGAGGGGACCCCACCACGGTTCTGCCCAGGCTGCTCAGGTGGGTTTGGGAGCTTAAAAATAAGAACATATCCTAAAAAAAGGAGGGAGGTGGGAGTTTGGCGGCGGTGGGAATGCCGGCTGGAGGCACTGTGGGCTCGGTGACGCTGAGACACCGGAGCACTGGGGTTTGATCCGGGTTTGGCACCAAAGCATCGGGGTTTAATCCCGGTTTTGCTCCAAAGAATTGGGGTTTAATCCCAGTTTGACATCAAATCCTGGTTTGACACCAGAACATCTTGGGATTAATTCTGGTTTGGCACCAGAATATCAGGGCTTAATCCTGGTTTTGCTCCTCTGTGATGTTCTGGGAGGCACCAAATCTGCCTCTGCACCATAACTGATTCCCTGGGGAAACTGAGGCACCACCATGCAGCCCATGGGAGACACGGGAGTGGGAAAAGGGAAAACTGGGAGGATTTGGCACACGTGGGCTGCGCCTGGCAGCTCCTGGCACGTCTCAGGGGGGCGGCTGTGTCCTTTCCAGGCGGGGCAGGAGATGGGGGCTGCTGTCCCCACTCCCCCCCCACGTCACCGGCCAGTGCCTCTGGGAAGGAGGGATTTTCCAGAGGGACGATGACCCAAAGTCACCGGGATCTGGGTGAGGATGGTGCTGCATAAATACCGCGGGGTTAAAGCACTCAAGGTGGGCTTCTCCTCCAGCGGGGGGATCAGGCAGTTCAAGTTTGGGCTGAAAAAGCCAGGAATCTGCAAAATCCAAGAGGATGGGTTATGGGAGTGCCCAAGTGGTGGCTCCGAGGGGACGCTGGGGGTGCCATGGCCTGCTACTCACACGCTACAACACACGGGAGTTGCTCCACTGTCGCTCCCGGCCGCCCTTGGACCTCATCTCCTGGACAGCACCAGTCTGCGGGAAAGGACCTGTCACCCACCTGTGCCAGGAGCCCCAGCACCCCAAAACAACACCCAGCAGCCCAAAACAACACCCAGCACCCCAAAATCAACACCCACCACCTCAAAACCAACACCCACCACCCCAAAACCAACACCCACCACCCCAAAACAACACCCACCACCCCAAACCCAACACCCACCACCCCAAAACCAACACTGACCACCCCAAAACTACCACCTGTCAGCCAGCCCTGAGCCCCAGCCCCCAGCCGAGCCCCCAGCCCGCCCGCAGCGTGGGGGTACCATGGGCAGCCCCTCTCCTGCAGCCATGTCTCCGGAGCCGATGTGTGTCAGGTGGACGAAGTTCATGGGCTCCCCGATCATGGAGCGGTCGATCCGTCTCCTCCTTTTCTTCTGCAAGGGGATGAAGGCCATCAGCCCCTGCTGGCCCCACGCCCCTCCCCGAAATGGCTGCACAGCAGGTACTCACGGGCTGGGGCTTCTCCACCACGCAGCAGCCCAGCTTGTGCCAAAAGTCGCTCATGCTGGCGGTGCTGGCAGCCAGCGTCCCCCCGTGCTGGCACAGCTGCCGGGACCCCCGTGCGGGCTCACTCCATGGGGACACCTGGTCGGGGTGGCACAGCGTGGAGAGGAGCAGCTGGCTGTGAGGGGGAAGGGAGGGTGATGCTTCCAGGCCTGACCTCCCCAAATTACCCGACCAACAATTCCCATCAACCAACAAAAGCCAGAGCAGACCCCTGGGGACCACCCAAGGGACACCTGTCATTGCAAGGAAATCCCTAGGGAGTCCCAGGGATCAGACCAGGGACCCTGGACATCACACAGAGAGCACCAGAATTGTCCCCATGGCCAGGGCTGGATGGGGCAGGACACAGCTGAAGGATGCTGCGGCAGGATGGGGGGATGGAGGCAGCCATGGCAAATCCCAACTCCCTGAGCCAGGCAGCTATAAATATCCCGGCCTTTCCGAAAAGGAGCCGGAGGCTGAGCTCTTCCGCTCCAGCTTTTGAAGAGCAGACGGGGGAGAAATAAACGGGGACTGCTGGGATTTTATCCCAAACGTCCATGGCGCTCCCTGGGGAAGGCAAGGGTGTGTGGAAAAGGGGGCTCACCCCCAAAACGGGGCTTCCCCTCACGCCAAGGAAAGACGAGTCCTTTGCTACAAAAGCAGCCGGTGGCACGCAGGGAACTCACCGCCCACGAGGGGCCGTGGCCCGAGCACAGCCGTGTTCCAGCCACGGGAGAGTCCCCCGCGGCACGGCCGGTGGGTGCCGGACCCACCACTCGGGCAAACAGGAAAAGTTCCTTCCTCTGTCCCTGCTCCGGCGACGCCGGATGGACCAAAGTCCGGCCCGCACTTCCTGCTCCTGGCAGGGAGGAGAGGGGCCAGGGGCAGCCCTCCAAAACGGGGGGCTCCGAGCCCAGCTTCAGCACGGCCCCGTCCACGGCCCCGGGCAGGATCTGGCCGCAGGGACCCCACGGAATGACCCCGCAGCCGGGCATTCCCGAGGCCCCGGGGCCCGTGGGGTGGGAGCCCAGGGTGCCGCTCCCCGCACTGCCAGCCTGGCACAACCAGAGGAGCCCCCCGTGCCCCCCGCCCGTCCCCGTCCCCCCGCGACCCTTCCGAGCGCGGACGCCGAGAACGGGCGGGCTGGGACTCGTCCCGGCTGGCGCACACCGGCTCCGTGCCCACGCCGTGCCCGGCACCCCCTGCCATTCCCGGCCTCTCCCCCCGGCTGCGGGGCAGGTGAGGAGGGGGCTGCCTTTCCTTCCCAGCCCCATTTCCTAAGGAAACGCGGCAGCCGGAGCGGCCCCGCCATAGCGCCGGGATCCGGCGCTGCAGCGGAAGGGCCTTGCCGGGGAGGCACCCCCCGACCTCAGCCCTGCCACCGCTCCCGGGGCGCTGCGAGAGCCTCGGGGGAGCCCCGAGAGCGAGCTCAGCCAAGTACGAGCCACCAGGGGCTCCCCGCGGGAACCTCCAGGCGTTCGCACGGCCACGACCCCCCGCCCGCGCCCCTCCGGCCCCCAAATCCCCCCCGGCACCCGCCAGGGCCTCACGTCCTCGCAAAGGGCGACGGCGGGCCCGGCTCCGGCTGCTGCCTCGGCTCCGGGCGGTTCTTCTCGGCTGCCACGGGCCGCAGGAGCCCCGATCCCCCCGCACGCCCTCAGCCCACCCCTGCGATGAGCCGTGTCCGCGCTCAGCCCCCTGGGCAGCTCGGTGGCCCCGGGCAGGGCGGCTTTGGGCCCGGCCCGTGCCGGCACAGGCAGAATGACTTCCCGGTTGGGAAACCACCGCTCGGCTCTGCGTCACCGGCGGGCTCCGGGCAGGGGGGCGCGCTCGGAGCCCCCCAGTACCGGGGACACCCACTCCCGGGGTACCCGCTGTGTGGGGACAGGGGTGGACGGGGTGAGAGTCCGGGGGTGCCCCGGCTGCGGGCCCGGGACCCCCGGCGTGGGGCGGCAAAGTGGGAGCTGAGCTTCCTTTGGGAGGGACCGTCCCGGCTGCGACCCCCGGGGCAACGGCGACACGGTGGGACCCGCGGGGCTCCGTGGAGTTAGGGGGTCCCGGCAGGGTTTGGGACCCCGGGGGTCCCGGTAGGGTTGGTGGGACCCGGGGATCCCGGGAGGATTCCCCGGTTGCACCATGGAGCTGCAAGGGGGGTCGTCCCGCCGCCCCGCTCCCGTTCCGGTGCCGATCCCGGTGTCCTCTCCGCCTCCCTACGGCGGTTCCGGGGCTCCTTCCGCGGGGTCGCACCCCACGGCGGGGGCCGGTTCCCGTCCCGGTGGCGGCGCCATTACCTGTCCCGGCGCGGGAGCGGGTCCCGGTGCCGGAATCCGGCTCGCAGCCCCGGACGTGGCTCGGAAGTCCAGGTCCCGGTCCCGGTCCCGGTGTCCGGCTCGCAGCGGCCCCAAGCGTGGCTTAGGAGTGCAGGTCCCGATCCCTGTACGAATCCCGGTCCCGGTGCCCCGCTCACAACCCCCCACCACCCGGGAGGTGCCGGTGCCGGTGCGGGTGCCGGTGCCGGTGGCGGTGCCCCGCTCGCAGCCCAGGCGTGGCCCGGTGCGGACGCGGCGCAGCTCCCGCCGCCCGGCCCGGCCCGGCCGCGGCACAGCGCCCTCCCGGGACACCGCCGGTACTGCAGGGGGCGGCGGGGCCGGACCCGGGGTCCCGGTGGGAACGGGGGGCCCGGTGGGAACGGGGGGCCCAGGGTCCCGGTGGGAATGGGGGCCCGGGGTCCCGGTGGGAACGGGGGGCCCGGGGTCCCGGTGGGAACGGGGGGCCCGGGGTCAGAGGGGGTCTGTAGAGCTGGAGATTCCCGGTGCCCCAGAAGGGCTGGGGAATCCCGATAGGAACGGGAATCTCCAGGGTCCCATAAGGACTGCGGGTTCTTGAGGTCCTGTTAAGGCTGGGGGTCCCAAGCTTGGGGTTTCCAGGAATGCTGGGGGAATCCCAGGGGGTGCCTGGCAAGACTGGGGTCCCCAGCAAGTCCCGGTTTTGCTCCCATTTTCCCCCTTTGAGCCTTATGCCCGCTTTTCCCATGGAAACACCAGGGCCCGTGGGGCACCCAAAGGCGTGGGAACCCCCGGAACACCCTGCAGCCGGTGCTGAATGCTTTCACCATTTCCAGCTCGGTGCCTTTCTGCTTGCACAACATCTGCTGGGCTGTTGTCACCACCACGGTCCTGCCACTGCCACCGCCACTGTCCTGCTTGCTGACACAATGCCATGGCTCCCGACACTGGCCCAACTGGACTGTGACCTCTGGGGTGTCCCCTCCTGCAGGTCCCCAGCCCAGCTGGAGGGTCCCACACAGGAGACACGCCTGCTGTGAGCCCCAGAGTGTCCCTTCCTGTGTGAGCCCCCAAATCCCAGCCATCCCCACTGCTCCCACTCCAGGAATCCTGAACAAGGCAGCACTGTCCCCACCCAGCCGGGTCTCTGTCCCACGCCTGTCCCCAGCCATCGGCTGGCCCTGGCTGATAATACCCCAAGTGTTTGTGACCTCATTTCAGCTGAAGAGCCCTTTTTTTTTTTTCTTCTTTTTTTGGTGTTTGTGCTGCCAGGGGACATTGTCCCCCTTGCAGCCCTCCCAAAACCGTGGAGCCCAGAGCCCAGAGCAGTGCCCTCATTGCTCCATCTCCTTGAGGGTTCAGCCCCTTCTCAGAGAGGGACATTTGGGCTGTCACATGTGAGAGGTGACAGAGAAGGGCACAGGTGACATCCAGCTTCTTATGAAGCTGCTCAGCAAAGCTGCGCCCCATGGCCTGGGGGACCCCAAAAACACAGCAGCTCAACCCCTTGGAGGGATCAGCATCCTCCTCCAAAGGGCTCCCAGCTAGAATTCTCCCTGTGCTGAGTGCTGGAGGGGCTGAGCTGAGACCATCCTGGAGCAGGAACATGGGATCCTCTTTGCCCATGACAGCGCTGGGAGGAGGAGGAGGAGGAGGAAGAGAGGAGGAGGCAGAAATAGTCTGGCTGAAAGCCGAGCACTGGCAGAACTGCTTGGCACCATCAGAAATGAGCTGCACACAGGGAATGGGGAGGAAAAGGGAGAAAAAAACCCTAAAGCACCAAAGGAATGTTGATCTCGGGCAAAGCCCAGGGAGAGGAGGGCAAGGGCTGCCCTCAGCCTGTCAGGTGTACAGATCTGGTCTGTGCCCCCAAAAAAGGCTCTTTGGGGTCTCAGTTGTGCTTGGGCAGGGGGATTCCCAGGTCTGAGGGGTTGCCTCGGGGGTTTTCTTTGTTGCCCCTCTGACACTGAGCATCAGCTGTGGGGAAGTGGGGTGTGAGGTGCCCCCACCCTGGGCGAGCCCCCCCTCAGCCCTGGCAGTGATGCCAGTTTTGGGTGTCTCCCTCTATTTCTATTTCCACGTCTGGCTACGGCCACAAAGCTGGGATATTTTTGGGATATTTTTGCTGTGTGGCCTTAGGACCAAACACCCCCAGTCTCAGATTTAAAAAAAAATCCAACATTTTTTGTGTTTCTTTGAGCCAAATTTCCCTGTGTTTGATCTGCACAGTGCCCTCCCAAGGTTTGGGGGTACCACACCACCCCACATCTTCACATGCAGGTAAAATAAATATTTCCCAGCTCCTTGCAGACTTAAAATTCCTCGCTATTCCCCCCAAAACGGATCTGAAGGCTTCAGGAGCGAACTGGGAATTGCTGCAGGTTTTTTATACCCTCGTCTTGGGGGTCCAGCGCGCAGGATCCCCCCCCTCCCCGCGCCTCCGCCCCTGCCGTCCTCCCCCTCCCTGGCGCGGGTGGGAGCCGCTGACTCATCTGCCATCATCATCATCATCCTCCCCCCACGAGGAAGGGCAATCCGAGGGGCTGCATTGCAGACCCAGCCTCGCCCGCAGACAAAAGCGACGCTGCACCTCCCGCGGCTCCCCGGCACAAAGAGCCCGGCCGGCACCGAGCCCACCCGTGAGCCCACCGCAGGTAAGGGCTGCGAGCCGGGGAGGATGCTCGGCGAGAGGACGATTTTCGTTCTGGAAAGGATTTGGGTGCAGGTGGGGGGGGGGGGGGG